GGAGGGGGTAAAAATGTTCAACAAGAAATGTACTCACTACATATGTAACTGTGACCCCTCTGTACATCACCTTGACAATAAAATTAAATAAAAAAACAAGCACAAATTCATGATGCTTGTAGACCCTCTTAAGAGATATTTCTAAGTTAAAAGGAACTTGATTCCAATCACGTTCAGTACAACAGAGTAGTAGATTGGTGATATAGTATCAAATATATAAAAGGATCTGTTTCTACCCCAAACTCATCATCCAGGCCAATAGAGAGTTACAAACATTTTGTTGGCTACTTGAGGCTTGTCCCAGCATATTTTACTTTCATGTACATATTCTCTGTTAGGTGGGTAAAAGAAGAGTATGAGGACAGGACAGCTAATCCCTAGGTCCAGTTCTACCTTACAGCTTCTCTTCTGAGCAATCAAAACTGTTAGAAAAGAAACCTAAATGTTGTAAGATTACTTCTTTGTTGCTTTGTATGTCCCTCCCCCACAGTATAACCCCTGCTTTCACTATATTTGATATCAGTATAACTTGTGGAGGAGATGGGGAAAAACAAGTCATTTAAGGATACAGGTGGACCTGTTGCAACAACGAGAAGTACAAGTTGTCATGTCCAAAACGAGCTTTACAACGTCGGTGCAGGGGTGGGGGGAAGGATTGGGATTGGGATTGGGATTGGGAGGGGGGAGGCTGGGAAGGGATGTGAAGGGTAAACAAAGGAGGAGGCTGCAATGCTTGGTAAGAAATGTATGCATTATCCTGACCATGTAATTGTAACCCCTCTGTACAGTATGTTCACAAATAAAATAAAATACAATTTTAAATAGAAAAAAAATGATACATTGTATTCATAAGCTGACATGTTAAATTGAAGCCCCTCTGTACAACTAAAAATAAAATATAAAATAATAACATTGAAAAAAAAAAGAAACCTAAATGAAATCAGTATTGATTAGAGATAGCTTCTAGCTATCTTATGCTAAAGCCATCTTATCATTTATAAATCCAGTGAACATTTATTCCTTTGGTGGGATTATAAGGCTACACATTTGAATATTCTACTTCTACAGTTCCTAATCTATTCACTAGCCATAATAGATTATTCTATTCATATTTATTTCAGTATTGATGACTGGCTTGTACCCAATCTGGGGTACAAACACAAACACGTAAGCAATTATGTAGTACTCAACTTGCTGAGATGACATAGAAACATTACTGTTGTCCTCAGAAATTTTGAGCCATTTTTTCATAGCTGAAGTTCACTGACTTGACAGAAAAACTTGTGCCTTGCCTGGCACAGGACTGAACATAGTATATAACAATGTGGGAGAAGACTGAAACTAAAGAACAGAGAGGCTCTACAGAACAAACAGTAATGAATTTAGCTCCTTCCATAATGGACACCTAATAGAGCAAGCTGATTGGTGTATCAGACATGTGCATAGTCAGTCAGATGGACTTTTTTTCCCCATCATTGTCTCCTCCATTTCCCAACAAGTGAGAAGTTATGGAGAGCAAAGACAGGTATGTTACATTTAGATGGCCTTTAGATTGAACCTCAATTTTTATAGTATGCCAACTATAAAAGCTTTGGACAAGTTTTTATTGGTAAATGGATCCTTGAATATATAAAATACTATCAATACTCTGAGAGTTGTTAAGAGGATTAAACTTTTAAAAAAAATCCAAAAAAGGAAGCAAAACTATGGTGTTTTATTGGATACTCAAGATGCTGTTGAAGGTTGATAGAATTGCCATTGGGTGATGCTTCTACAGCACTTTTACAGCTATCCAAGTGTAGAAATTCTGACTAAAGATAGCAACCATGCACAATAGCTTAAAGATGTTTAGGTAACAGAACTACATAGAATTCACTAGCAGATACTACTCACCTTTACTAATAACAGTTCTTAACTTTTTATTCAGGGAATATTGCATTGCTTAAAAAAATCACAGGAAACATTAACACAAAATATAGGAAGGGGTTTTAAATACATGTTTTTAATACACGAACATGTATATGTTCAGTTAGTTTCAAGTAAGAGCTCAATATTTCCTTGATTCTACAGTTTTATCAATAGGATAGAGAAGGCCATTTCAGCTGCCTCATGGTTCTTGGAATGTTTTAAGTTTGGCTTTCAAGTTTTTTTTTTCTCAGTAAAATTTTCTCATTTCATTTTTCTAAACTGAAGAAAAGAGTAATTCTGATTTCTTTGTTTGCAAAATAACTAGTAATTATGACTGGTAATAAATCTTCCCACATTACTGTTTAGGGAAATAAAATCTGCAAAATAGCAAAGTCAGTGTCCTATAGAAAAATAAATTATTGAAGAAGGGTTTGTGAAGGTCTGAGACAGTATCAGAGCAGAGATCACTTCTGAATTCTTGGCCCTGTCAAGATGAGCTTTTAAACAACTAAAATACCATAAATTCCTTCCTAATTAGTTTGACATTTGTCAAATTGTATGTTTAGTCAAGGAGATTTTATTTCATCATGATTTCTCTAGTATTAAGCAATATTATTTTTGAAGAATGAAAAGAGTTTGTTACCATGTTAGAAGCAAATGTACAGCCTGTGCGCCTTTGTTCTTCACAATGGCAATAAACTAGAGTTGGATGTTGCACAAGGGGTAAAGCATCTGTGTAGCAAGTCTCACACCATGAGTTCAGATTTTAGTACTACCCAAAAAATAAGAGCAACAATTGATGACAATCACTTTTAACTTCTTTTTGATGCAATTTTTCTCATTAGGTGAAAAAACAAAAATAAGAGTTCCAAGTTTGTGCATTAAATACATAGCTTTTTTGCTTTAGAAATTTCTGGAAAGAGGGGCTGGGAAGGTGGCTCAGTGGTAGAGCAATTGCCTTGCGTGCATGAGGCCCTGGGTTCAATTCCTCATCACCACATAAGCAAAAAGAAAAAAGCTGAATTGTATAAGGTTGCAGAGCTTCTGCAGGGCAAATGACATAGCTAGCAAGATCAATAGAAAGCCCACGGACTGGGAGAAGATCTTTACTAGCCATACAACGGACAAGGGTCTCATATCTAAAATATACTTGGAACTCAAAAAATTAAACCACCCAACAACAAATCCTCAAAGAAACAACTGCCCAATAAGTAAGTGGGCGAAAGACTTAAAGAGAAGCTTCTCTGAAGAAGAAAGAAGGATGGCCAATAGACACATGAAGAAATGTTCAACATCCCTAGCCATAAAAGAAATGCAAATCAAAACAACATTGAGATATCACCTCACTCCAGTTAGAACAGCAAAAATCAAGAACTCTAACAACAACAGATGCTGGAGGGGATGTGGACAGAAAGGAACCTTACTTCATTGTTGGTGGGAATGTAAACTTGTTCAACCACTTTGGAAAGCAGTATGGAGGTTCCTCAAAAGACTCCACATAGAGCTCCCCAATGACCCAGCAATCCCACTTTTGGGCATTTACCCAAATGATCACAAACAAGGCCACACTAAAGCTACCAGCACAACTATGTTTATTGCAGCATTATTTACCATAGCTAAGACATGGAACCAACCCAGATGCCCCTCAGTAGATGAATGGATCAAGAAGATGTGGTATATATACACAATGGAATTCTATGCCTCCATCAGAAAGAATGGCATTTCCCCATTTGTTAGGAAATGGAAAGGCTTGGAAAAAATTATATTAAGTGAAGTAAGCCAGGCCCAAAGAAACATAGGTCCCATGGTTTCCCTTATTTGCAATATCTAGTATAGGTATGAGTCAAGCGGAAAAAGTCAGATAATGTGATGTTAGGAAAACGAAACCTCAAATATGTATTTTAATGTTTTTGTTTCTTTCATGCATGTGTTTCTAACGCATTTATAAGATTATTTCTTTGTTGCTTTGTATGTCCCTCCCCCACAGTGTAACCCCCGCTTTCACTATATTTGATGTCAGTATAACATGTGGAGGAGATGGGGACAAACAAGTCGTTTAAGGATTCAGGTGGACCTGTTGCAACAATGAGAAGTACAAAATGTCATGTCAAAACCAGCTTTACAATGTCGGTGGGGAGGGGGGTGGGGGGGTATGATTGGGTGGGAGGGAGGGGGGAGGCTGGGAAGGGAGGTGAAGGGTAAACAAAGGAGGAGGCTGCAATGCTTGGTAAGAAATGTATGCATTATCCTGCCCATGTAATTGTAACCCCTCTGTACAGTATGTTCTCAAATAAAATAAAATAAAATTAAAAAAAAAAAAAGAAAAAAGAAAAAAGCTGGAAGAGGCACTGTGGCTCAAGTGGTAGTGCGCTAGCCTTGAGCTGAAGAGCTGAGGGACAGTGCCCAGGCCCAGAGTTCAGGCCCCACGACCGGATCCAACAAAAAAAAAAAAAAAAGAAATTTCTGGAAAGATATGCACACAATCCTCCAAACTGCAGTTTTTACAGTCAGAAGTTTGGGTAGATGTGGAAAGACACTGACAGCAAGCAGACATTTAAAACTTTTTGCTCGATATTATAGCAGATATTTTGACCTATGCAAATGTGCTACCTACTTACAGAATGAAATTTATAAATATGCCTTCACAAGATTTTCCTGCACAAATATTCATTTTCTCTGATTTCTTCAACTTGTTTTTTCTATAAAGTTGACATTACTGGTTTAATTCAAAGAAAGGCTGGCATGTGAAATTAGATATTTTTTCCATGCTTCTTATAATTGTAAAGTAAGTTTTATATTAAGTTCATCATGGTTGTTGTATCTTTGAAATACCTTCTAACTCATGAAAGGCAGTTTATGACTGCTCCTGGTCAGCTGGATGTCAAAACCTGTAAAGATAGAGGAGAAATGCTTTCTCAGCTTGTAAGACTACTGAAGGAAGAAGCTGCTTTTATTGATCACTTATGAATGTAGACTTCAAAACATAATAAGAGAAACAATGTACCCACAAGCCCTTGTTAGATTTTCTATCCTGTGCAAGTATGTAGTGATGATTATAACCATCAAGAAGCACATCAAATGTGATTAAAAGGAAACAGCACAACTTTTTCAGTGTTTTTGGAAAAAAAAAAGAATACTATTATACCTGTATTTTATTATAAATAAACAGGTTCTGTCATAGATTATCTTCTTGCCAGCAAATGAAGGACATTGTTTCATAAAGCTCTAAAATGTACATGAATATTTAATTAAATCATATTCCTTGAGAAAATAAAGTTCATTCGCATTTATAGCAGACAGTTGTGAGGAGCTCATAATTGTCTTAAGACCATGGTAGCCAGTACCGGTTACTTGTAGAACAAAAAACTCCTCAATTTTTAAAACATTTTTTAAAAAATAAACATACAATCATAGGTGTTCATTTACTTTAAAAATTCTAAAGATGAAGAAAATTATTGTCTATATATTTAAGTCCTTATATAAATTACAAAACTCAAGTTTATGTTACAGAGTCCTTCCCCATAGGAAGCGTAAAGCACTTTTGTGGTACCTTTCACAAATAAATGTCTGTATCACATTGAAGTTAACAAAATAAAAGTCAATATTGCATCTTTAAGCCCTAAGAGAACATTCTTTTAAGCTGTCTCTTGTGTTGAATGAGCTTGAAAAGTCATTTGATTGCAATGATTTAACTCAATCCCAAATAAAGATATGGAAAATTAATATACATATTGCCTTCAGTAGAACTCTGAATTTTCAGTGAATTGCAGACTCTTTTTGCTTGAGGTCAACAATACTCTCTGAAAACCACCAAAGAGTTGTTTAAGACCAGGACAATAAAATAAAATTACAATAACAACAACAACAACAACAACAACAATAATAATAATAATAATAAAATAAAAATAAGAACTGACAATGAGGTAAACTCCCCTTAGAAAAGGCAGTATGTGTTGCCTAGACTGTCAGGAGAGAGTTCGATTGTACCTGACACCCAAATGTTTCTCTAGCCAGAGTTCAGCCAGTTGCATGGTTGAGGCAAAAGTACTTGCCTTGGATCCCAAGCACATCTTATATTGCTTAGGGTCCAAGTTAGGATCACAATGAACTGGATGGAAAATATGCACCACTCCTACTTCTTGACTTCTGAAGGGCCTTAAGCCAGACAGAATTACTTTATTGTAGAGATCTACATCTTCCAGTCCCCAGCCTTGTATTGAGGTATCAAATCCACCTGCACCCAGAAGATCACTTTTGTAAATACAGGTGATTCCATAGCCATAGTCTCTCCAAAATCCAGTTTTCTTTGAGAATACAAAATTATCATCTATGGGAGGATTTCCACCATTGGTTACCTTTGGGTCATACTGGCTGAAGATGATGGGATAGTATACCTGTTGTCCCTGAATTGTATTGTCTCTGCATCGTTGGAGAAAGTCTCCTCTGAAGATCAAGTCAACATCACAAAATAGCAGCAAAGTGTCATTGTCAAACTGGGAGGAGGCCATTTCAAGACCCAGACCTCTGGAAAACTCTCCCTTCATAGGAATCAGGGTTATATCTGCTTTAATGTACTTGTTCTGATATTCTTGTATGAGCTCGACATGCTTGTCAGAATCTTCGCCAGAATCCCTACTGAAAAGGATTATGACCAGCTTTACATTTTGCCTTGGGATCAGACATGTATTTTCAAAGTTCTCCATGAATCTCAAGAAAATGTCAAATCTTCCAACGAGGGGAACCAGAATATGTATTTTCTTTTCATTTTGACCTCCCATTTCTTTGGCCCCTGGAAGAGAAGATAGTATTGTTAGCGAATTAGATATTAAGGAGAATGGCTGAGTGTCACTATTGATACTTTCCACAAGACCACTGATATCTAACTCTTCCATTTCTCTGAAGAAAGGCTTGCTGAATAACTGCTGAAGATAAGCATGACGTCTCACTGGCACAGTCAGTTTCCTTCCTTTGTGCCTTTTGTAGAGGAGTAATAAATCCAAAATGTACTCCACTCCATGCATGGGATTAACTCTGCGGTATCCATACTGAATTTCCTTGAAGTCAATGAGCCTTCCTCTGCTCTTGGCATTCTCATTGATCATCTCCATCACTTGCAGGACAGTGTCATCCAGTGCAGCTTTTAGGATGCTATTGATGCTTTGTCGAGGTGGCTGGTTCTCAGCAGCTGAGTAGAGGAGCTTTCCTGTCAAGAACTCCCATTCTATTACTTCATTTCTCTCTCGAGGCTGGAAGTGGTTAAAAGAAGGCATGACTCCCAGCTGCTGGTCCTCCTTGCTCACCTCAGTGTTACTGAGCTTACTCATCAGAGCACTCTCCCTGTGGAGTTGGATAGTGCGGTGTCGAAGCTCAGAAATTTTACGACTCAGCATATAGTTATGCAGCCTATATTGGTACGCAGGCCTTTTGTTGGGGTGCAGAGTTATAGCTGCATGAATTTTGCTGTTGTGCAGGTCTTGGATATAACCCTTCCGGTTGTGCTCATAGTTTTCATGGAATAGTTGCTGCATCTGGAAAATGAGAAATTCTGTATGTCAGACTTATTTAACAAGAAACTACAAATAAAAACTAAAACTTAAAGTTCAAACCCTTTTTTTACATAGTATTTTATAATAAAATGGTTTGAGAATTGACATTTAGATGAAATCAGGTTTTACTCTGAAATCTGACAGATAAAATTGTACTTATTTGTCATGTAGAACATGATGTTTTGAAGTATATGAATATCATGGAGGGAACAAATAAAATTAGCTCATTATCATATTCATTAACTTACATGTTAACCTTTGGTGATAAAAATGCTTGAAATCTATACATCCTCCATTTTTTCAAGAACAGATTCTATTGTCATTAACTATGGTCATGATATTGTACAATAGAGTGTTCTTAAATATATTTCTACTATAGCTCTAAAATTTGGTATCCATGGACTAACATTTCCCCAACCCTCCCATAACTGCTCCAGTCCTTACTACTATGATTTAACTATCTGCATATGTGAGATCAACATTTTTTAATTTCTACATTTGGCTAAGATTGTAAACATCAAGTTCATAGGAGCAAATATTGCAAACTAACCTCCAATTGTATATTTTCAAGTTAAAAGATGTTCATTTTTTAATCACTCTGAACCCAAGCCAAAATTTCAAATGAAAACAAGAACATTTCCATAATCTCATATCAACAGAAAAGAAAAAGGCAGAATCGTAGAGTGTGGATTTTCTAAAACAAGGTATTGGTCCTGAGGAAGAAAGCTTGTGATATCTTGCTTGGAATGGCAGTAATTGGTATCTGCTAGATGAGACCTGAGTCTTTGTTCATGTCCTTCTATAACACTGTTACAGAATATTCTTGGTCTGATGAAATAGATTAGAAGCTATAATGATGCATACTACTAATCTAAAGCACTATATCTAATAGACCTTGTTTGGTATCGTTCTGAACCAGAAGCCCTTCCCAATAATTTAGAACAACCTCACTAACTCTAAAATAAAAGTTAGTATAAACGTAGTTTGACTATTGATCCTTTACCCAACAGTCTACAAACATCCATCACAGTAAGTACCAAAAGAAAGGTTAGGAAGAGGAGGAGGAGGAGAAGTACAAGGAAGAGTGGGGAGGAGGGAAAAAGGAAAAGGACAGTAAGCAGCATCAGCATGTGTGAGATATCTGTAAGCATACTGAAGCAGAAATAATTATTTCAATATAAAGAGTACATCTTAGCAGCAATAAATGTTATAGAAAAACTGAGTGAACTAAGCAAAATGCACACCCTCTTAATTTCAAAGAATCAACATATGATCTTAAAGAAAAAAAGTTTAAATAAAAGCTATGAAAATAAAAAAAAAGAAAACAGAAGTAGAATTTCAAACAAATTGTGAGAGGTTTCACACCAGAAGTTTGTGGAAAACATAGAAACTAAAGATGCTCTACCTAATATAGAGCAACAAAAATATAAAAATTGAAATTAAAATGTTTGTATCTCCATATGTTTGTGTGTGATGGACCTGTTTTGCTTAAAATAATGGAATAATATTCAACCTAAGAGTAAAAATAAAACAAAATTTGACAGTAAATAGGAAAAGAGTAGAACGTGCCAGAACTTTCTCCATAGCAACCATGAATAGTGAAACACGGAGTGGAACGTCTAGGCAAACCCCCAAGGAAGAAGCTAATCACCCATCCTTTTATGTTCAGTCAAGATGGAGCTCCAGTTATCCCAAACAAGCACCAGTTGAAGTTTTAGAACATTAAGATTAAACAACTCTTAGCATGTAAAAACATGTGAGAGACGGGTTTTGAAGAATTATTGGACTTTCCTCTTCCTCAAGGTAGGTTTATGTCCTCAAATCTTCTGGCCTAAATCTGCCTTCACAAATAGCTAACCATCAGAACACCGCCAGTTTCAAGATTGGGAGCTTCTGTTCTTTCCTTTCCCTTCCTTCCTTTTCCCACCCGATTTTCTCCCCACTTCATTTTCTCTCCACGTAGAGGCAGCTGCTAAGGAAAAGCATTTCAGTTAGTTTCCCTTCTGCCTGGGCTAGAATTTTCATGACAACCTGGCAAGAGCAAAATACTCGTTTCTAAGCCCAAAGTCAATGACGACATTGTCAATGTTTCTCATCATAACATTGAAATTAGTCCTTTTTATTTCTAGTTTGCCAAGACTTTAAAAAAAAACCAAAAGGTATAGAAAGAACTCATAGTTGCTCAAATGCTTTTTCTACATCTATTCAGACAATTGTGTGATATGATATTTATTTTATTTTTTGCTATTAACATGAAGAATAGCACTTATTTTCTAGTATTATACCACATTGTATATTTTGAAAACCTAACGTAATTTCAATATATACAATATATACACTTTTACACTTTTAGTAGAAGTCTGTTTGGGACTTACTGTGACACACCAGTTTTCCTCTGCCCCCTCCACTCCCACTCTCTGCTTAGTACTAGAGTTTAAATTCAGCCTTATACTTAACTAGGCAGTCACTGTGATCCTTTGAGGCATGTCCCGTAGCTCAAAAGGACTTTGTTACTTCTCAAATTGAATCTTCGGATTAAGCCTAGCTTGCCTAGACTATGATTCTCTTATGCTTCCCACATAGCTTGGTGTATAACACTATACTCAGCTTTCTATTGACTAAGATGAAGTCTCAAGAATTTTTCCTCTGATTGCCCTCATATTGTCATTCTCTTGATTTCTGCCTCCACAGTAGTAATATTATAGAATTTACCTCCTAATATGATTTGATATGCAGTGAAGTCCCAATACAAAGTCTATATTTTCTTTTTTTTTTTTTTAATTTTTATTTAATTTTATTTGTGAACATACTGTACAGAGGAGTTACAGTTACATGGGCAGGATAATGTGTACATTTCTTACCAAGCATTGCAGCCTCCTCCTTTGTTTACCCTTCACATCCCTTCCCAGCCTCCCCCCTCCCCCCCAATCCCAATCCTTCTCCTTCCTCCCCCCCCAGCCCCCCCCTCCCACACACACACCAACGTTGTAAAGTTCGTTTTGGACATGCAAAGTCTATATTTTCTTAATAAAATGTTTCTAATTACTGAGAAGCTGATTTAAAATTTATACTGAAACTAAAATGATCTGAATATTTAAGGAAATCTTGAGAATATATACTCAAGATGGAACATTACAAAACTTTAGACAGCATGATGCTAGCATAAAGGTTATCAAATAGGACAAAAGAACCAAAATATATACATGTGTAGTGAGGAAAGGTGGAGGGAGTGTTAACAAAGAGTAATAGAGGGGTGAATTTAGTAAAATACATTTTATTCATGTGTGTAAATAGCATGATGAAATCCCTTTGTGCCATTAATATAGTTAATCTAAATAAAGAGATTATAATAGGTCTTCTACAATGTGGGAGACAAAATAATAGAATTTTTCATTTAAAATCTCTTTCGACACAGTAATATCTACAATATATAGTGAACTTACACAAATCAGCAAGAAAACAGATAGACCTAGCTAATGTATGGGCAAATACCATGAAGGTTGCTTCACAAAGGACACTACATGAAAACCCAGTGAATGTAAAAAAATGCTCCTTACCTCAGTTATCATCAGGTTAGCATAATCTACAATCCCAATGTGATATCATTATGATTCCTGAAGAAGAGTTAAAGCTACCATGCACTAAATGGTGAAAGATCAGAAATTCTGAAATACAGCTGGAAAAACTATAATTTGGTTTGAGTACTTGGGAAAAATTGTATCAACTAAGAAAAGTCCATTTCTTATGGCTTAGTAATTCCACTCTTAGATATATTTCCAATAGAAATATATAAATACTTAAAGATACATATGTATATACATTTAATAAATATACACTTAAAGACACATATATGAATTTTACAGCCACATTACTTATAATTCCTCAAAATGGAAAGTGACCAGTTGTGCACTGAGTATAACAGGCAATGCAATGAAATATATTCATACACTGGAAAACAATTTGCAAATTAAAATAAGCAAAATACTACCACTTATAAACAACAGGGATAACTCTCACAAAGTAGATGGGAGTGAGTTTCTATAGTACAATGTTCTTAACATAAATGGAAGGCTGAGTTCCATTCTCAGCCCCACAATGAAGAAAACAAAAAGAAAAACAGAAGAAAAAAAAGATGGAGGAGGAGGAGGAGGAAGAATAGTAGACACTATGTATAAAAATGATAAATTTTAAGATATGGTCAAAATACTTTAAGGACATATTGTGAATATTGAACAATGAAGTGGTGAGTTATCAAGATGCATTGTATGCATATATAAACATATCAAGACAAGCTCTTGTATAATTAATCAATGCAAAAAAATAATTACATAAAAGCACATGAAAAGATGTCTGAGCATCACAAATGTCAATGAACACCACAAAAATAGATGATTTCAAACTCACTGGAGGGATAGAAAAAAATAAACAAAGACTGTTGGTACAGATGTGGAGAATTTGGAATCCTTGTAGAATGTTGGTGAGAATGAAAGATGGATCAGTAACTTTGGAAACACTTCTGGCATATCTTGAAATGTCCACACAGAGTCATTATATAGATAGATATTTTCATTCATTCATATATTCGAGACAAAAATATATTTACACAAAAATTTTATACTAGTGCCTGTAACATTGTTTATAATAGCCAGAAATGAAACAACCCAGATATCCATCAAGTGACAAACAAGTACATGCTCTACATTCATGTAATGAAATATTATTTGACAGTAAGAAAGAGCTAGTTGCTGATACCATGCATAAACCTTAAGAAATTTAAGTGAAAGAAGAAAGTCACATAGAAGACCATATACTATATGATTCTACTTACAGAAAATATCCAGAATAAGCAAATTTTTATTCCTATGTGATTTTCTCTTTAGAATGATGAAAATGTCTAAAATTGACTATGGTTACAGCTGCACAGCTCTGAAAATATATATTGAGCCATTAAATTGTATTCTTTAAATGGAAATATAGAATCT